AGATCTTGGTTCCTGTTGATATGCGCGCGTATCGGATCATAACTTTCTGAATTATGGCCCCTGATTGTAAGAAAAATCGCGTTTTTAGCTTGTGATTATTATCCAATTTAAAAAACGTTCGAATATATCACCGTTACACCGTAATTTTGATTGAGTTTGGATTTTAAAAACCGTTGAAATATATCATTATTCCACCATAATGAAGGTTGAATTCGAATTTCGGGAAAATCGAAATGAAACTGCCCGACAAAATTGCCTCTCTTTGTACGCAAATTGTGTAAAAGTATGCAATACGAAGGTTGTGGACCCTCTAGAGGTCACAATTTTTTATCCGATTTTGTTGAAACTTAAAACATATCTTTATATCCCAAAGATTCCAGTCCCTTTTGATGTTTGCGCATTTCAGACCATAACTTTCTTGATTATTGCCGCTAATTGTACAAAAAAATCCCGTTTGTTTTTAGCTTGTTCTCTATCCATCTCTTGCAAAATGTGGGCGTATCCTGCCTGACAGCCGCTGGTTGGACAATCTGATTAAAACACAGATCCAATTTCGTTTCGTTTTTATAGTTCAAAATTTCGATTTTACTTGTCTTTACTACACTTGGATCTGGAAGCGTTGTTATTTAGAGAGAGAGAGAGAGAGAGAGAGAGAGAGAGAGAGAGAGATGGGATTTAACGTCCACTCGACACAAACTAGGTCATTTCGGGACTAACTTATGGTTTAATTTTATTTCAATAATTCGCTTGTGCGTAGGGCTCTTTAGCAGTGGGAAGAAACCGGAGGACCCGGAGAAAACCCACGAGGTTGGACAGGCCACCCTACTCCTTGTCACGTACAACCGGGGATTCGAAACCACGCCAGTTGACTCAATGACAGGTCTTATGATACAGCACGCACGTGCTAACCATTCGGCCATCCAACCCCCCGCGTTGTTATTTAACTCGTGTTCTACTTGAAATGAGGGGTCAGCGAATCAAATGGTCTGCCGAATCGAGCGTTTGACCTTTTTTGCGCGGAACTGTTGGTAGACATTAGCGGCAACAGAAATCAAAACAAAGCAAAAGTAGATAAAAAAAAATGGCGGTCGCTAATTGGTTAATCGAATGACTGACGTAATCGGGTCAAATGTCGCTTGCTTGGTACCTGACGTCATAGAACGTGAACTCCCACTATAACTTGTTAGATCTACATGTAGTGTAGGTCATCGAAAGTATAAAAAACGAAACGAAATATAGATCTATATTTTAATTAGATTGCTGGTTGGATATTTCAAAGCCAAATTGACATGGTTCTAAATGAATGATTACATTATCAAGACAATGATGTACATGTAGGTAGTTAGTATAAAAATATGATCTTAACAACCGAACGGTATCTCTCACCCGTATTCCAGCACCCGGATTTGAAATGAAGTTAGCCAACATATGCCTAGCGCCAATAAAAACCTATCTACATGTGTTATATTTATCACGATAGTAATTGTTACCTTTATATTAAAAAAATAACATTTTAAGACACTTTAAAGATACCTTCCACGTTACAAACTGGGTGATCTGATGATATATTTGGACTTAAAGCATAATCAAACTAAATTTTTCTTCAAATCCTTCTCAAAACATTGTATTCGCGAGGAAATACCCCACGCAAAAAAAAATGTATTAAAAGAAGTCATGTTTGTCAGTCTGTGTCACGTGACTTAGCTGACGCGGCACCATCGCGTGCAACCTATGACGTCGCGTATGCGTAGGATGGGAGGGATAGCGTTTTACTCCGATACGAATTGCAAAAGAAACCGGTTCAATGATACATATATCAGACAACATCATACTCAAATTCGGCCATTGCGAAATGACGTAATTAACATAATTCAATATGGCGGTCTTCAACAAGGTTCAGTGTGTTTTAGTGGTGGGAGAATAACTCTTTTTTTTTAAATTCTTCAAACAGGCGATAAGAGGCGAAATGTGCTGAAATAACGAATTGGACCAAAAGAAAACCCTCAAAAAATGTATTTTCATGACAGCTATTTCGTAAGATGACTTTTAGCTATAAGGTTTTCGACATCTCTGAATTTAAAGATAAATTTTTCCTATTGGATATGTCATTTATATGGTTTTCGGTGTCGCTGGCATCAATTCTGATCTCAAAAATAAAATTCAAGAATCCTTGATGACAGAAATGAAATCCCAAACGACGGAATTTTAATTAATCGTCATTAAATTTTTTACTTCCGTTAGATATGACATGTACAATATGTCTTATAGCCTAGGCTAAGGGTTTCTATCCACAAAACTAATTATGAATAGCCCAGATAAGGTAAATTTCAAACTATGAAAATAGAATCCAATATGGCGATTTTTGTTCATTTGGATCTCAATCTGGTTAAAACACAGATCCTATTTCGTTTCGTTTTTATAGTTCAAAATTTCGTTTTACTTGTCTTTACTACACTTGGATCTGGAAGAGTTGTTATTTAACCCGTGTTCTGAACTGTGGGTAATCCACTAGTAACATCAATGCTGATTGGTTAATCAAATGTCTGACATCATAGGGTCATAAGTCGGTCTTTTGACCCCTGACGTGACCTATCGCTATAACTTGTCAGATCTTCATGTAGTGTAGGCCATCGAAAGTTTTTAAAAAAATGAAACGAAATATAGATCTGTGTTTTAATCAGATTGTTTGGATCTCCCTTGAAAAATAAAGATGTCAGAGTTAGTGAGTTCAATACGGGGTTCAAAAAATAATTTCCGATAAGATTGTCAGACATAGAATTTGTGCAAAGGCTGAAAATATCACGACATATCATATAGAAAGCATCATTTTCAGTCAGTTTTTCAAAAGAAATTTTGCGCCTGTGAGAAGAGAATCTCATCGGAAACAATGGACCTTGGGCTCCCGGTCCGTCCGTGGTATCATCTAGTCCGATAGTAACCACAGGTAGACATAAAACAGGCAAAAATGATGAAACTGTGGTTAATGACGGTCCTACTGTTACCCCCTGGGGGTGGGGTCCGGTGGTGTTCTCTTCGATTAGGCGCAATATTTCTTTTGAAAAATTGACTGTAAGTTGTGCTTTATAGAGTATATCTTGGTCTTTTTAGCTTCTGCACATCTAACTTGCGGCAACCTTAGCAATTCATCAAAAACGACATAAATTCATGATTAAAAGGGGACACCAATTTACGCAAGAACATTAACTAGTTTTGGGAGCCCTGAAAAAGGGAGGGGAAAGATGGGAAGTTAAAACGTGTTGCAATTTTTTTTAGTACTTGATTACTTTAATCATCAGTAGAAATACGCTATATAAAATAATAATTCATATATTATTTTACAGCTACAATAACGAAAGAAAGGTATGTTTCCGTTTTATCCAAAAAACAATTTATTGTCATTTTATGCAGAACGATATGGTGTTAAATGGTGTATGCCTTAAATTATCTTATAAATTAACAATTGGTATATTGATCGAGTATTTTACAGCGACAAGAATGTTTCCGTTTAATAGAAAATTCCAATAAACAATTTATTGTTAGTTTGAGGGGAAAGTGCAACAGATGGTAGATAATATCTAAATGTTGTTTAAATGCATATTTTCATAAACTTATTATGCAGATAGATGTTTTTATGGAAGGTCCACTTGAATATAACATAATATTTTGTGTGAAAAGGGCGTCCTGAATACAATACAACATGGAGGATTATGAAATTCTGCAGTCTAGTAGTTTATTCATCCCTTGATTCTGTGAAATAAAAAACATTTTGCCACCACAGCTGGTTTGAATACTGTTTGAATTCTGCGTGCCCAGTTTGCGATATTTTAGTATGTTGACGGTAATAACATGTCTTAAATGCTTCTATTATGAATGTAACAATTATTATCGTGATACATATAAATATATATATGTTTTATTGACGCTAGGTATACGTTTGCTAATTTCATTTTGAATTCGTGTGAGAGATTCCGCTTGGTGTATTTCTTCACAGTCGGAAAATACCACGTTTTGTGGTAACTATGTATTGTGACATCACATCTTGCGGTAACTATGCTTGCAATGCACAGATAGTTCTTTATATAAAAAGACAAAACCTATTTTTTAGTGTTATTAAAGTATTCTTATTGTTGCAGCACTGTAAATGTGTTAATTTTCTTATATTTTTTAACTTTTTAAACGTTTTCGCTTAAAAAATGTGGTATGTGTTTTCTTGAAAATTAATGAAAAAAATTACCAAAAATATATTCTTCAAATAAATTCAAATAAACAGCTTCTTTCTGACCTTTATTTCATAGAAATTGACGGAAAACTAGAGCAAGTAGGATAAAATTGATATAGTGTCGGCGGCCATATTTGATGACGTCATTGTGGAATAACTTTCCACGTGGTGCGTGTCAACCCAAGTTCAAAATACTTACTTCGGCACCCACTAATCATTTCTTCAAAAACATTCTCCCTACTCAAACTTTCCTACAGAACCATAGTCAGGTGCTGGATTGTACCGGTGGTGTCACCTGGTTCTCCATTTGCACTTTTTGTCAATGCTACATGGGCGCAAGGGGGTGGGGGTAACCCAGACCCCCCACTTCCCTTAAAGTGTCACGTCTCATGTCTATATCACCAGTTCACATTAAAAGTTCCTACAATAACATAATTTTACTAAAATAAAAACAATGTTAAATTTCTCTAGGCAGTATAACATTTGTTGCTCAAAAACGAACTTGTAATGATTAGACGTAAAACGATCTCATCAAGCAAAAACCTGGAGTAGGTATAGCGTTTAATTAAGAACAACATCTAATACTCAATTCCAAAATACCTAAACAACCCATCCTCACACATACACACCCCACCCCCAAAAACAAATTACTGAAGAAAAAACATTGGTTGTCGAGTTTTATGTAATAGTTTATTCAATAAAACGAAAGTAGAAAGAAAAGAACGGAAAGAATTCGTAAAAAAAATCAAATCGAAAAATAATCATCTTTCATTTGCCCCTTTCTTTCTCACACACTTTAGAACAAATAAAATTTGATTTACAAAAGTATAAAGTATACAATCTTTGATTTACAATATATACAAAAATATATTACAAGTAAATATGGACGGTATATTTCTATATACAAAAACTTTATACACTTAGGACTGAAATATATGTAGGCAAAGAGTGTGTATATTATACATATCACAGACACAAATAATTATTTTCTACAAATAAGATCAATTTTATAACGAATTAATAGAATATATAACGAATCTTTTATAATCTTATATGTTGATCAATGATATTCCTGGTATGCGAACCTCGCAAAGGATTTTTGAAATAAAAGGACGTGTATAATGAGATTTCAAATTTATCACCATATTTTTTTTAATAAAAAAATAAAAGCCTGAAGCTTGACCAATCAAAGTTGAAAAAATCTCATAGAAAATATATCTGTCAATTCAAATCCAATATTTGGTAAGAACAATTTGGCGTATTAAACAAACCATGAAGACATAATCAGATATTTCAAAAAATTTGTTGATTTGCATAAAGGGAAGAGGAACGCACGAACCATTCGTCGTATCAAACAAATCTTATAAAACACATTATCAGGTACTTTAAGAAATATTTAACACAACTAAAATCGAATATTACAAAGCTACGTGATTTGTATAAAGATAAGAGGGATCAAACAAATACAAAGTTCCAATAGCAAATCCCATTCATCATGATTAATTTTCATAAGCATTAACATGTCTGTGAATTGCCTGTACGGATTGCAAAATCTGCCAAAATAAATCATATCCTTTTGAAATTGAATGTCATTTTGCCGGGTAACATAAGCATATACGTATATCAATATCGGTTACGTCTTTGACAAAAATGCATCGTATAATACTGGTATGTAAAATTATAAATCGAAATAATATTGTTAAGATGTATTACTGAAGGTTAGATATTTTTGAAACAAGATCGGTAAAAAATGAAATTAGGCGCTTTGTTTAAGAGCATGGTGTAAAGCGTTCTGGGTACCATGGCCGAATGTGTTTCCATATCTGAACTTCTGGCCTGAAAAAAAGTAATTGAAATTGATTGGAAAACTACAGAGAGAAATTCTCAAGTATATGTAAATATATAAACACAGTAGACCAGGGGCGGATCTAGGAATTTTGAAAAGGGGGGGGGGGCGCTGCAAAATGAAGGCATTGACCGCGGAAACGGGGCATGCCGTTGAGGGGGGGGGGGGGGGTCCCAAGAAAATTATCCGTCATTTCCTTGCATCTGTAGCCATTCCAAGAGCTATTTCCCAGACTGGTGTGTTTGAGTCGATGGTTTGAGTCATTTGGCATCCCTGAGAAAAGGCACTTTCAGCAGTAAAAAAGGGCACTGAATCCGTCTCTGTCGACACAGCTTTGGACAAAACAGCTTTAAGAGGCCATTATGTATTTTGTAATAGACCTTGTGTAGTGGCAAAATCACTCCATGAATAATCGAGCAAAAATATGATTAAAATGTCGTTTCGTTGCTTTTTATTCAGAATTGAACACTACACTGTAAACAGAACAACAAAAATTTTCTCTAACATGGAAATTCGTGGTATTATGGTACCGGTAACCAAGGTCTTCCCAATACAAATGTTATTACTACTTACCAGGGATGTGTCCAGTGTAGTGGGGTACCAGACCGGATTCTTCTGGATAAATATTTTTTAAATCTATGATACGTTTCTCTTCTCTACTCAGGCAAACAGGTTGTTGGCTCTGTTGTTTTGATCGGGAAATCTCGTCAGTAAAGGTATTCAGAGCTTCATGAGTTATGATTGGATAACTCATGCCGATGATACCACGTGATCTAGGCACAAAACCGGTGTAGCCTAGAATATAAAAATAAACACATTAGCGTCTATAACAAACGACACGTACAGTACAGCCACGAATGTTTACGTTTGGTTTGTAATGTGATTTTTTTCATACAACAATAAATGAAGCGTCGAAGACGGGTATACGTCAAGTTGTGTTCTGTGAGAGAAATTTACCCTAAAAGGTGGGGGGGGGGTCTTTGGAAGTGGGACTAGTGGGAGTAAACCGGGAAGTCGAGCCTACTCCTTATCACCAGCAAACCAGATTTCGAATTAGACCCCTCAACCAATGTGTATAGAATGAACTTCTTTGTTTTAGTCCCTTTGCTAAGAAGTAGAAAATACAAGCGGCTTTACTCAGCTTATGCTGGCCGGGAACACCGGACATGCTGTAGGTGACAGATCGGGCCAAGCTCGACAAAACAATTATCTATATCGATTATTAATAATCATAAGTAAATTTACCTGACATGAAGTTTTTCATTGGGTTTTCATTAGGTAACATGTAGGGTGATACAGGAAATTCAACTGTTTTATTACCCCGCATTCTGGCAACCACGGGTTCAATGGTCACTGACCTCAATGGCGTGATATGACGACTTTTTAGAGGCTAAAATTAGAAGAAAACAAATTGCCTTATTTCTCCTAACTCTTAAGAGTTGCCCTGTGACTGAAATTTTATATTTTATTATTCAGTACCTCGGATATAGTCGGCTGCTCTTATTGTGTTTTAGGGCTCTATCTGTCAGAATCAGTCCAAATTTCAATACAAAATTAGTTAGCATTATTTAATGACAAACTACCAAAATATGGAGGGAACATGCAGCCACGGATATAGATCGTCAGTGACTATAGTCGCTATCATTGAAGAATAAGTGACAAACTGGTTTAAAAATGAACAGAAACTTACAGGTAGTTCAGGAGTTCCATCAGATTTTCCTGTTTGAACATCAGCTATTACTTTCAATTGTTTAATTTTATCAGCGTGACGTCGATGATCAAACTCAAAATCGGCAATAGAATTCCGGCAGTTAACGGCGTAACGATTTCCAAAGTAATGCTGGCTCTTTGGGATAAATCCTGAAATACAAAACCAGCAATTGATATTAATAGGGGTTCCTATTTGACAGAACAGGGTAAATAAAAGTGGATTCATATAAGTAAATCAAACCACAAAATTCCTGGATAATTTGTTTTTATTGTTGCAAATCATAATTTCAACTTAGGCCTACGTCACTAATATATCTATTGCGCTCAACCGTGGATTTGTCGAACTTGTTTAAAGGGAGATAAATCGCTTTATTCTAACAAAACAAATTTTATTATCGTCAGAGGTCATTAACATAATTATGAAGCTTCTGATAATGCAGTCTTGTCGAGTCGTCCGGTAGGACAAAAGCCCAAAATTCGTGTACCCTTGACATCCCCACCACAATTGAACTCGTGATAATAGAAACGTGTGATAATCCACAATTGACCCAGATAAATTGTTTTAATGGCATTTAGTAACTGAACTCGAATATAGAGGTCACAACTCTAGGAAATACAATTATTGTTTATTACTGAGCGACGTTTGTGTAGATAAAATGGTGTAGATACACGCCATTCTACCGTCCAACACGGTACATTCATGGCAAATCGTTTTAAATGAGCTACATCCCTATTCTTTGGCACCAAGAAATGGACACAAATGGGTCGCAAGGCTTATATTAATGTAATATGAATGTATATAAACTGATTTAATTTCAGTCGTTTCTGTTTTTACTGTAATTTCTAATCAGTTATGTTCGGCGATATACGCGAATAGTCTGAATTTCGAGTGGCAGTCTTTTGTGTCTGGTTATTCCAGTCTACACCGGTAGTATTCTCCTACACAAGGGCGTGGATTTGTCATAACTTTTGGGGGGTACGGACGAACCCTGGAGCCTGGAACATTTCATTACCAAACGAAATAAATAATTATGAACAGTTTACTGTACCAGTGTTATTTCGATGAAGGCAATAAGTAGGGGTAATATGATGACAATATGGAAAAATTGACTACCTACATCAAAGCTGCATAAATATTAATTGTTCATGAAGTTAAGTTCGTTCTACGATCAGGACTGTTCTCTTTGAATATCTTGGCGACATGAAGGGGGTCATTATGCACCGCACACGCCATGAAGTGTTTCAGTCGGTTTTGCGTCATGGAGTTGCGCAGCCAAGTTTTGATATGGCGCAAAGTGCTGAAGGATCACTCGGCTGAACAGGCACTAGCAGGGTTCAGCAATCTGAGATGAGAAGAGCTTCGACAGAAGGGAACACCTGCCTCACTTCAGGTGACATAATGAGGAACGCTTCGTACACAAGTGAAATTGATTTGGCCGAAAACTGGCACTTGAAGAATGGCAATTCTTGTTCCAAGTCCCAATTCAGTTCCAGATACGTAGAAACAAGCTCACCCTCATGTGGATATAAACCTGAAAATCTGTCCTGGCGATCAAAATCATGGGGGGGGGGCAGAGACCTATTCGTGTCCCCTTCCGATTCTAAGGGGGGGGGGGGGGGGCGCGTCCCCTCGTCCCCCCCCCTAAATCCACGCCTATGCTCCTACATGGGATATGTTTAGCCTCGTACATCGAGTCGCTTCATACAACTGACTCTCGAAAACATTCTGGCACAAAATTTTCATTTTGTCTTTTTCACGGTAAGATAACAACACCAGTGTTGATTTAAATTGACCAATAAGTCGTGTTTGCAATGTCGAAGACTGTGGATGATACTGAGTTAAAGACATGGCTCCATTAATTATATATTGACGTACCTGTATAACCAGGAACCATTTTTTCTGTTAGTTTTTGCTCTCCAGAACTCTTAACCCTGGTCCTGAAGAGATCCGCCTGTTGAACATCTTTCTCGTCGACTTGATTTAATGGACGGCGTATTTCAGACAATACCAAACGACCGGAAGTTGACACATCGTCATCTTGAAGTAGACGTCTGGTGGTTCGACCAAAAGTTTGTCCGATCTGATATTTGAACTGGGGACAATATCCACCATATCTAATATAATAGAAAAAGACAATAAACTTAGTATCACCGGTTCCATAACTCTGTATTCATATTTATTTGTGATCAATGTCGTAGACGAGGCGGAATATGCTTACTCTTTTTACGCGATAACACCTTTATTTTGATTTATTTAGAAAATGCATACAACCAACAATGTATTGTGTATATTTACCATGAACTGGGTAAATTAACAATAATATTATAGATGCCTATAGGATTATATACGATCACGCCCTGATTCATAATATAAAACACAAAATGATCGGTCATATCGTCTGACCTGCGAGAGAAGGATAGCAGAATTATTATTACTTTAGTTATCTATGATACATGAATGCATGACTGAAATGGGGTTTAACGCTCCAACCAGGATAATGACGACGGACATTAGGCCATGCAATGTACAATAAGTATAAGGTAAATTTTGACCAGGCAGGAGTTCTTTCATGTGCACACCAAGGTGTAGACGGTACATTATGTTTTTGCGTACAATCACACGGACTATAGACGCTGCTTCTTGCCAGGCTCTATTTTCTTTACCACTGACAAGGAGAAACCACTCCGGTAAATTCGCGGAATTTTTCGGCCAACGCCGGGACCTCCAGGTTAGTGAGCAACCCCACACACCTCCGAAATTACAATATAGGTTTGATAGTGTATGCGCTTACACACACTATATTCTGAAATATCTATGGTTTTCCTGGCCCTTTAAGAGTTTCAATATCTGGTATGTTATCAATAATAAGCTCACTGTTCAAGCTATTCTATTTTAATAGGCAGTTTTATAGACTGTATAGTATATTATTGGCAATCAATGGCTTTATACTTGTTTTATAATAGATTCGTGTTATAAATAATATACTAATCTTACACCTGGATACTATATCCTTTTAAATACGGTATACATGTTTAGACCTTTAGATACAGGTTTGTTATTGGGTCTATGGTTGTAACAACATATTGAAACGTTATTTTGATTTAGAGTGGTGAAATTACGGTTTTGTAGCAGCGAGTTCATGGACAAACATTATAAAAATAATGTCTATAAAATAATATATTCTGGTATTTGTATTTCGAGAAATCTAAGAAAAATATATAAGCTTATATAAACTATTTTAAACAAACAATTTTTAAATGAACTGGATATTCTGTTCTGTTCAAAATACCATAGACCTATAGCCCCCAACCCCCCACCCGACTTGGTGAACCATCCATTTTTCGGGCAATGTATTTCCGTTTTTCGGGCACAAACATCAGGTAATGAGACCATAAATATATCATAGAAATATAATTGTAAAATGAAATCGCTTGCGGTTTACGTTTTTAATACTATGATACTTAATAAACAGGTCACAATTCTATGAAATATAATTACTGCTTGATAATGACTAGAGAAGCCTGGCCGAAACGTCGCTCAGTAAGAAGTAGTAATTGTATTCCATAGAATTGTGACCTAATATTCCAGTTCATTTACTAAATGCAATTGAAACAATTTATGATACTTAAGTGTGACTTTGTGGAAAACTCGTTTTAGTTAATGATGGATTCATTCTGAAAATTCGGATGACAAAAAAACTTTTCGGGCAAGTAGCCTCAGTAAATTATTTATTTTAATTATCAAACCTTTGTATTGAATAATAAAACAAGGTTAATTCGATATCTTATATTGTGGTAAATATATGATTAGTTTAATATTACACGAGATATAACCCCGTATAGAATGAATGATAAATATCTACTCACGCGAAGTATTAAACGTAAATCCGCTTAGATCAGATATATAGATAGGATATTCGGGGAAAAAAAACAGTAACCTAATCGCCATTTAGGCCAATAAGCTAAATGGATAAGAATACCAAATATAATGACCTGAAGCTTTTTCCATACACATAGTCTGATACTGATAGTCTGTTGATGGCTTACAAATGTCATTATTTTGTCGTGCATTTATTGGTATGTGTCTGTTAGCGTTCGCTCTGACCGTTCGTAATGTTTTTGTCGCGAGACTCAATTGACCCTTTAACAAGGATTTTATAATTTATGGCAAGTCATAAATCATTACAAACTACAGCTAGCGGTGAATTTTGTTTATAGTGTTGTAAGAAATATATCACACATACTCATAGACATTATTACAGTTTTACCTTATGGCACGTGGGCTAAAATAAATAACGAAACTGTTATGGCAAATGAGCCGTGAATAAATAAAATAAATAAATAAATAAAATCCCCCTAATTGAATAACATTTGCATAGTTAGCAAAGAAAGTATTTTGTAGCCTAGTATTTTGGCTTTACATAAAGGTCTTGCCTTGGCTTAAGATTATTGAAATCATGCCCATGAGACATATGCATAGCTATGAAGGGTTCGAAAGTGGGGGGAGGGGCACTGAATTTAAGGTACTGTTCGTGTATGACTAGCCTATCCCTCAGTATAATTGGTAATATAATTATATTAATGAAGAAACAAAAACAGCTTATATCGTCCAAAAAGACAAATATCCTAGAACATGAACTACTGCTATCACACTTAAAAATACAATACACATAGATATATACTACAAAACACATAGTATAACGCATGCTGAGATAATAAAATTATATACATCTAGATCTACTACATACCCTGGTGTGTGGTAAGGATCAATTGGTAAAAATGCATTTTCTCCAACTTGCTGCATGTTGACTAGATGAGGGTATTAACACTAACAATCAGTGGAGAATAAAACAAATGATCGTACTGCGATAGAGCTTCGAGGCGCGCGTTATACACCTTTCAGTGGTACACGGTAACTAGGAGACGTTATGCAACTTTATCCCGTATCTACTGTGACGTCACAGAGTCAATGCCAGTGTAACGTTAACGTGATACGATACGATCGCTTTATAAAGGGTTAAAGATTTACAAGGGCTTATATATACTGCCGGTAAAAATCAGCGTAATTAGGGATTTATATTTTGATAGTTATGGTTATGCAAACACACTATTATATATTCTTATAATGTATTGGGGTAAGACTACTAATTATTTAATAAAAAACATATATAAAGCAGATTGTCTTTAATCATTAGGCCCAAGATTAAGGTTAGGATTAAACGACTAATAATTGAAATAGAAAGAAAGTTTAATAGCAATTACATAAAGATGGTTTAACACAACAAGATAATAAATAATACTAAGAGAACCCGTATGGTGGATAAATTAGTGGAATAAAGAAGTTGTATTACATTTTCTTGACACATTATCATTGTAGTAGGTCTAAGAATTAGATTTTAAAAAATGCTCACTTATGATGGAAAAAGAAATCACGCACTGAAACAGATGTGCGATTGCCTGTTTAACGTCGTGGGTTCCTTACCAGTGTTTAAAAGACCCTTCTGCGCATCTCTGTAATTGAGTCAAGTAGCGTGGTTTCCATCCTAAGCAGTCCGCCACACCTGTTTTTATTCATTCTATACTTAATAAAAACATGGTTTATGCACGGAATTATTAGTGAGCAGAAATTCACTCGTGTTTCTGTTATCACTCGTCACTTCAGTCAGTTATAATATGGAAGGATAACTCGTGTTTTCCTTTTGCTCTCGTCAAAATCTTGAAATCTTCATTACGCATCTATCTTAGCAATGATCTCTGTGTTAAAATTATATTTGGAACGTGTTTAACGAGTTCTATTACATATGTGATAATGACTGACACGAATTAAATATTGTCCTTTAACAACCAGTGCTCACTTTGGGTTCCATTTTTCCGCCAATTTTTCATTTTAATTTATAAAATAATAACCATATATTTTTTCCACCAAAAAGGCAAAGATAAAATTTAATGCATACAAAATACATACGATGTTGCAATTTACAAAATTCTTGTCTACTTAGCAGAGGCCCAATTTTTGAAAGCTTTTTTCAGTACACTACATGTTCATTCTCAATAACAGATTTTCCGGCGTGGTTCTCCCTTGTCAGTGATGCAGGATGGAGGGGCTGACAAGGAAAGCTGTCTAGTCGTTCGGATGGGACGAAAAACCGAGGTTCCGTGTACACATTGGCGTGCACGTAAAAGGTCCCTTGGCAGTTGGAATTCGATATAAGAGTAGGCCGTAGTGCCGCTGTCCGGGCAAAATTTCCCTCATAGCACACTGTATGGCGTATGCCCGTCTTCATTAGCCCAGGTTAGGAGCAGAAAAGTAGGACGTTAAACCCCATTTCATTTCATTCATTTCATTCTCAATAAAGGGGTTTAATTTGTAGAATAAAGTATCGCTGATAATTAGACGCTATTCCTTAATATATTAAGTACCGATTCCTTGTCTCATATTAGGCATACATTACTCTTTCAAGGGCACATAATAATGAACATTTCATCTGATTACAATGACTACATTACTCAACAGAATACCCCAAAATTTAACATACCTTACTGTCGCAAACCATACTAGTAAATTTCAAAGCGCTAGAAATAATACAAAACTATTTGATGATATTTAATGGAGGTGGTTGCCACATAGAACAAATAATGATGAATTTTAGAAATAATAATAATAGTGCACTTTTAACGCGCTAAATTCCAAGTATATGCTCATAGAGCAACAAAATGTCTAATGACATTATGGTTTATGTGCTATAACAATTTTATGTCTCATAATATTCTTTAAACAGGTGTGTTTTTAATAAACTCTTGAATTGCAATAAGGTTGGTCCATCTTTAACTTCTGATGGTAGTTTATTCCAAACTGTTGCTTAGTTATACTAGAAAGAGCGCTGTCCAAATAATCTTAATTTAACGTTTGGGACACAAACTAAGTTTTGGTTAGCCGATCGTAGTATTCGGCTAGGATGACATTTTGAAACAAGTTCCGATAGGTAACTTGGTGCGGTTTGGTGAAAACACTGATACGTGAGTGAGAGGATTTTAAATTTCACACGGGCCTCGACTGGGAGCCAGTGAAGTCTTGACTTTATAATATAATAATATACACAAATAATGTAAAATATCAGTTTTCATTTGTCGCAGAAACAGTTGAAACCTATGTTATATCATCGTGAGATGGAGACTTGGTTTAGAATATGACGGGCGGATGCGGTCACAATGGGCCATTTATATGATTTACTAATTCCATTTATATGACTTACTAATTCCATTTATATGACTTAACTAATTCCATTTATAAAGCTTTATAATTAATTACTTACTTAGGCACGTGTGGACGCTGAAACCCATCGAAATGGGTGACTGAATTGAATATTATTTTCATAGTTTGATAAATAATTATGAAACTACGTAATTATTTATCAAGTCTTATAAATCCATTTATATAACTTAGAAAATAATCGGCAATCTCCGTACGCCTTCGTTGAGTCGGCCAATTGGCCAATCAAATCCCTCGTTACATATAGCGGTGTTTTACCTTTCATGGCGGCTATTGTAAACATAAAATGACGAGAATAAGTTTTATGCATGTTTTAGTTATCCTAGCTTCAATTTACTTTTCTAAGGTCACCGCTCACCCTCCACCCACCGACCGGGGTAGTTCTTTTCACAATTTCTTGCGAGTTTGCCGAAATATCGTGTCGGATGTTGTGCGGCACGCGTGGGCCCAAGCCCTTGAAGACAACATACCCTCATCCTGACCATGGTCATCTTCTGCAGGAAGATTAGTGCGTCCGAATTCCATTAAAGGAAAAAATGTACGAATAAAATGATGTAGGCCCTATGACACCGACGTACACAACTCGAAAACCGCGGACGGGAGTGGGAGGGGCTTGCCATTCAGTAAGACGACCTGTGATTGGCTGGCCGAAGCATCCTCGGGATTTCCGGGCAGATGTACGAACTTTCCCGAATATTTAGTTCGTTAGATAATTCATTTATAAGACTTAGAAAATAGATTTATATAGCTACCATATTATTTACAAGACTTTATAAATCATTTATCAAGCTATGAAAATAATATTCAATTCAGTCACACGCTTCGAGGGGTTTCAGCGTTCGCACGTGCCTAAGTAAGTAATTAATTATAAAGCTTTATAAATGGAATTAGTAAGTCATATAAATGGCCCATTGTGACCGCATCCGCCCGTCATATTAGAAACATTAGCTACTATTAAATCGATAAAGTTAGCGTAATGTAATAAAAGAAAACTTTTCTCAGAAAACCTCACTTGTCTCCCTTGCTTCACACAATTTTATTTAGCTTTGACATAAGAATATAATCAATTCTATTTCATTTCGTTTTATTATAGTTCAAAATTTCGTTTTACTTGTCTTTACTACACTAGGCTACTAGTGTTGTGTTGTTCTTAGTGTTTAACGTCCGCTTCCACCGACGGTGATATCGTAGACAAGTCTTATTTTTCTTTATTTTTATTATCTTAGCGCACGCGCAGGGGTCTTTCCTGTGGGAGGAAACTGGAGTACCCGGAGTAAACCCACGAGGTTGAGAAGGCGCCCCTATCTCCAAGCCACATACGCTCACAGCAGGGATCGAAACCACAGCCGCAAGCCAGAGGTGACCGGTCTGCTAGAGGTCCCTCCCACAGAAGTGATATCGAAGTTGTTATATATAACCCGCGCTCTGGATGATATGAGGGATTAGCCAATGAAACGACCTGTTACGGCGAGTTTTTGGCGTGAGGTGTCAAAAAAAGCATAAAGGCCACCGAAAGTATAAAAATAAAAACGAAATATAGATCTGTATTTCAATCAGATTGGCATTTAATCAAAGTTATTATTTAAGGAGAGAGAGAGAGAGAGAGAGGGGGGGGGGGGGTAACGTCCACTCGACACAAACTATGTTATTTTGGACTAACAAATGGTTCAATTTGATTTCAATAATTCGCTTGCGCGTTGGGGTCTTTAGCAGTGGGAGGAAACTGGGAGAAACGGAGACAACCAACGAGGATGGACAGGCGAGCCTAAAACGTACAATCGGGGAATCGAAACCACACCACACCATTCGGCCATTGACCCCAGCCCCCTATTTAGCGGAGAGGTTTAACAACACAGGTTGAGAATCACTGCATTAACCCAGTCAGTTCAATTCCTTGTTTAAGGTGGTGTAGTGTTTAACACCAGTTAGATCAGTGTAGCACTGGTGTAAAACTGTACTAACACAACGCTGAGACCCCGTCTTTATTTAAAATCATTCGAGTTCAGGTCTTTGGTGTCGAGGTTGTGTTAAACGTGGATATATTTATACAACATGAGCACTAACGTCGTAAACACTAACTTTTACTTGGGCCCCTTAGTTGTCTATATTTTCAATATCAATTTCCCGATTTAAAGTCTCAATACCACTCTTGCTGTAACTGAATAATATGTCCCAATCTTTATTCTGGTCAACAAATTGTACTATTTTAGAATATTCCAATTAATTGATGACACAAATTTCATCTTAACACACCTTATTTAAAAATTTTGAAAAATTCAACATAATGGTTTGAAACGTCTAACGTAAACCTTTTCGAATGAAACTTCGATTTAAAAATATTTTCGAACCCTCTGGACAAGTAAAATAGGATGTAATGGATAATTTACAAAACAGGTAGGACACTTAAACATCTAGTACTTAGATAGAGATATTATTTATTTTCTGGAGCTTTCAAGCCAGCAAGAGTGTTATTGTCCCTTTAAGGAAACAAATTTACATGAAAAAATAATCAGGCAAGGAGTTTTGTTCAATACTATTTCTAATTACATAAAATATTGTTAGATGATAATAACTTGACAAAAGTCATCATCTAGATGAACTGTCTATTGAATATAATATAT